AACAGAACTCCTGTTTAATATTTGGGTCGCACCTAGTTCATATCTCGACCCGGGAAACGGCTTTTTCCACTGAAAGATTGGAGATTGTATCTTAAATGAGGCCACGACTGCTTCTTTCCATATCCTCGACAGTTCGCCATTCATTTATCCTCGTTGCGTCGTTAAAAGAACCACAAACGAGACAATTCGTATGACAGTATTTTACAAGACAAGGTTCGAATCTGATGCTTTTAAAACTAGAAACATAAATCGTCTGACGTCACGTTCGTCGTCGGAAAGCACAGAGTAAGTAAGTCACTAAAACGCTATGGTCTTATCGTGGTCATCAAGACAAGCAGTAAAAGCTATTGGATGACGTCACATTTCTGCTTTCACAGGACAGCACATGAGGAAGACCCCGTCTCAGTTTCTCTTCCTGACATTTTCAAGTCTCAAAAAACTGTGTTCATCTGTTTCTTTGAGCTTTATTAATTTTGTGTTTGAGGTATTCCCCTCCGTCTGTCTCACCCCCCCCCCATTCCAAACGTTATAATTGTTAACACATTAGATTAATTAATTGGTGTCCCCCAAGCAACTTTTTTCCTGCAGTGGTGGTCAATCTACACGCGAAAGCAGTTAATTGGCTGTTTGCTGCTTCAGAAGTTTGTCACTGTCTTTGCTTGGGAACTCAAAGGCCTTGGTAATGTGATGTTTGCGTTATCTTATGATTGTCATTGTTCTAAATAAAGCTCCTAGACTCAGCCATCAAATAAAAGTAACAATAAAACAACAACCAATGGGACCCGCGGGCAATTGCCCTTTTATTTGAACATGGCGCTGAGACCCGGTCCATGTTTATCCCCAAAGAAACTTCGCGTATGGCGTTATTAACCCTAAAAACGTACACACGTTGGAGAAAATCTATGGTTCATGATAAATGTTGGCCAGACGTAGAAGACAGCGGTTTCGTGGTCAGCGTTGCACACCGTAAGGCCAAAAATCGCTTAACATTGTTCCCATGGCAACGGGAAAGACAATTATTGTAGTCATGAGCATTGTCCTGTAAGGACGAATATCCCTCAACAGGTTTATCATGTGACGATTATAGTACGCACATTTTTCTATTTAATGTAATAATTTTTTGGTTCTTTTTAACTCTGTGTTAACTGTAACGTTATGTATCATGGAATTAGATCAGATGATGATTGTGCATTTTGAAATTTAAAGAGTTGTGGCCTGTGTCAAGCTGCCATTGCAACATTCGCCCGAAACGACTAAGAAAAACCACGAAAATAACACCCGCTTCTCGTCTGACGGGTCATGGGAACGAACCAGTGATGAAAGGCAGGCATTTGTGAGCATTTTTACGTGTATGTGTGGCAAATTAATTGTCGCATGATGTGGTCGTGGTATGTGCATTATACGTGTATTTAATTGATTATTTGCTTGTTTTATGACGGAATATTGCGTGACGAGGTTGTGCGATGTGTTTATGACCGCTGTTGGAACGGAGTTTTCAGAAATTAATTGCCAGTTTGACTTGAGAAGTGAGTGGGTCTGTTAACGTGAAGTAAGCTGTGTGTGCAAGACGTTCAGTGTTGTATCGTGCCTACATCCATCCACATGTCATCCTGTTTCTTGCAGGAATGTGCAGTGTGTCTGCGGGAATCATATACCAAGCTCGCTGTAACACTGAACGAGCCGTATTCCTGTCTCTTTCGGTTCACTGTTTAACATCCATCGTTCGACGGCATGTAGTCTCAGCTGCTGACAGCGTCGTTAAATAAGTACAGACAGGGCCTAAATATAGATAATGTGACGATTGGTCAGGGCTCTCTCACACGTCGTTGGGAAAGAGATTTGTTTTGTGCAGAATTTTTAAGGAAATCTTCATACAAAATTTCACGAAACCGAAACTGCGTTCGACGTCCCTTAGAATTAAACGTCAATGAGGTCAGAAGGTGGGGGGTGATACCAGATAAGAACGCACGTAGTGTCCGTTCAATAAACATTATTTCACAGCGGCGAAAATTTGTAGCTCGATGTCCTAGTTCGTATGTCGCGAATGTTTTTGAATTGCATAGTATATTTCGGCTCCGGGCTATGCCCCCCTGGGTATTTCGGTCAGAGTGACGAAGATTTGGTTGTACTTCGAATGGCTGTGCGTCTTTAAACAGCCATTCTCGTTGCGGGTTTGAGACAGCGTTTCGGCTTCAAATTATAAGCTGGAAACGGCGTTACGTTTTGCTGCCCGAGCTGGAGATTGCTACGTCACGCGGTGCCAGGGACCTTTTAAATCACGACGCCATAGTTCACAAACCTGTTGGCAGCCGAGAGTCACGATTACAGTCGCTTATTCAAGTACCATAATTCGTTTCTGTTTGCGTTTCTCGTGAAAGTGCATAAAATTACGGACGCTCCCGACGTGAATAATATACATCGCGATGAGGGTAAGTCACGTTCTTAAAACAATACAAAATGTAAATATCAAATTGTAGGATTCGTGAGTTTAAGTTTAAGTGGGGTAAGGGTCAGTAAGTAGTCGGCCCGACCTCTAATTTATGAATGTTAACTCAAGCAGGAAGTCCTCGTATGTTTGCTTTACGATAAATCTCTATAATTATATACATATGCTACTCTGACAAATGCTACTTTATTCGTCATATCCTAATGTTACGATATATGTGCTTTCACTTTCCTTCTTAGTTTCCAATTAAGTTTTCTGTAAGGATGCTTAAGTTTTGAGTTAAATGTCATAAACCTTAAACCAAAGCTTTTTATCTTCCATAATACAGGCCCTCATCTGCTTAACGATGCATTGTTTTGTTATGTGATGGCGTCAGTCACTGCTGGCGAAATTGTCAGGAATATTAATTAATACGTACTGACTCATGCGATAGACAGATAAAATGTTATTCCAGTTGTGGGGGGGGGGGTGTTTACTACTATACTTGACAAAACAAAGATAATTTGTAGCCGAAACAAAGGAACTGCTTAAATTAATGCCACTTAACGAACTCCGTGTATCTGAACCTTCTAGTAAAAAAAAAATACGCGTATTTTATGCAACCCGAAGGTTCGTCACCGTGTCCACAAGAGCCCGCCACCGGTCCCTGTCCTGATTCAGCTTAATTTAATTCACAACCCCAAACCTATTTCTCGAACACACTTTAATATTATCCTCCCATCTACATTTAGGTTATCTGAGTGATCTTTTCGCTTCGGGATTTCCAACAACTGTTTTGTACGCATTTTTTTTCCATCTGCGTCATTAATTCCACATTCCCCGCCAATCGTATCCGTGATTTGATTACGCTGATGATATTCGGCGAAAAGTAGGTCCTCATTGTGCAGTTTTTCTGTCCTGTCACTTTCCCCTTTTAGGTCATATGACGGATGAGTTTCATGGAGTTCTTTATATCTAATGTTATACCGTTGGATTGGAGTGCAATTTTAACCCAGTGGCGTGCTCTTGTGAAATGTTTTTGAACCTTCGCTTCCGTATTCTTCGCCATTTTACCTGGTGTTAATTTCTCACTCAGTTCCGCGGGAAAGTTAACATTAATACGTAAAAATTAGAGCCATAGGATGCGGTTAATGGCAAACTGAACATCCCATGATGTTAATTTAATCATTACGCATTTCGCAAGAAAGGCTAAGCAATAGACGCAATAATTTTGCACACTTTGTCATGTGAAGTTCTCTGTGAAAGTGAAATTAATGAAACATGCACCAGGAAATTGTTTTTTTCTCACCAGTGATGTGGAATGATAGATTTAACACAGACACAAGAGCTAGAAACTGCTTCTCTTACTGAGAACATGTGTATCATTGTGCTTAACGCCCTCCACCCCAAAGTCTTGAATATAGAAAACAGCTGATGCGTTACTTCATTACTGACACGCTAGCTGCCGCTGCTATGGCGCGCGCGCGCACACAAATATCGAAGAAGGTCGCTACCGATGCGCAGTCTCTATTCCTCTCTGACATGGATCACAATCTGCATCGATATATAGAATCTGCATGCAATTTTCACATTGCGAGTTTCGATAATCGATTATGGCCCCTTGCATTGTCACGCCGTGTGGTTATAATACAGGTATTCTTAGTTAATCCGTTTTCGAAAAATGCTATTTCAATAGTCTTACGTAATTTAGACCGATTTCAATTAATGGCGCTCTCTTTAATATGAAGTGCTTGCCGGCCGATCAAAATTTATGCGATTGACCCAGTCGACTTATTCATAGAAGACTACTGTCGCAAAAATCGATGTTCTACGTTAGAGCGCTGTCACTGTCTGTTGCTAGTTCCATTTCCCTCCACATAACCTCGGGTGAGATATACATAGCAAGGTTTCGCCTCATTGTTGAAGACTGGTGAACCACATACAAATATAGATCAGCACAGACACACATAAACATGTTTAATTCCTTGTAAGATGTTGTAACAAGAACTTCAAGTAACGTGGTCTCCCTTTGGCTCTAGAATTTACGTGATGTTTCTCATCATTAGATCGAACAATTGTATAATAAGAAATGCATTTTTTGTGATAAAATACTAAAATGACATTTTTATGAATATCTGAAAGGTTTAACCTTTATTTCCTCATAATGTCAAATGTCATATACGACAGTGTTTTTGCCTGATTATGTTTAATTAGGAAAATGTTTCAAAATGGTCACGTATATAATTTATGACAACAGTGCTTAATGTTTTAAAGTGTCGATTTCTTGTTCATACAATTTTATCCCACCTCCCTTCATTTAAATCCATGATACTGTGATAAATTTGAAAATTATTACTGCTTATATTAATTCTAATTGACAAAAAAAGTTAATTATTTGTATAGGTCTTCTTTTGTCAGTAATAGTTTCTGCTTTTTGGCCCATCTTATTGAAGGCCTTGCATTCGATTTTGTATATCCCATTCTCTGTTCCTCCCTCCACATGTGACACGCAAAAACGCCTTTCTCCTGTGCCACAAGATGTAAATCTGAGATTCAGTCATTAATCACCTTTCAGGTGTAGTAACTGGAAGAGAGTGGTAACTTGAGAACAGCAATGGCCATTTCAATCCTTCAAAAGTTGGCGTGGGCTGCAAGCTTCATTCTGTCCTCATGGATGATTACAGGGGTTCAGACTGAACTGTATACGTGTCTAGCAGACATGGAGGAATTGCTGGAAACCGAAGCTCTTCTTATAAGGACTCTGAATGGTTATATTCAGGCAGAGGAAGAAAAGTTACAGATGTTAAGAAGGTTAGTACATTTTCAGTTTTGGTTATGAAGAAACTTGTTTCAAATTTTAATAAAAAAAGTGTTTCTGAGATTGTTTTAACTGTACGACTTTTCTTTTCGTGTGATTGTCTTTAGATTTAAAAGTTTTGTGAAGAAATATTTCTTCCTAGCTGTTCCCTGAGACGAGTTGCTATGATAAACGTTTCACCACAGTTTCTTCGATGCTTTGTTACAACAGGCACGCCGCAGATTATGCAAGAGAACACGAGGAAGCCAGTGAAGATGTTCAAAGCTATTTGTCAAATCCCATTAATGCATACTTGTTGGTAAAACGTCTCACTACTGACTGGAAGGAAGTGGAGACGCAGATGGTAGATGATGTTGGCAAAGGTATTATACGACACACAGTCATATTTGAAATGAGCATTGCATACAATTCTGTGATGTAAACAAAGGTACTGTTTGTGAGATTGCCATGTTTGAACAGTGACGCTTTCATTTCAGTAGATTTTGTTCTATTTATAGCTCTCTTTGTTAAAACACAATTTTAGTTTCCATGTACAAAGTGCCAGTAAGTCTCATTTGAGTCTTCTTTGTATAAAACAGAAGGTTTCCATTCCATAACATATTGCTTAATATTTATTATTTTATTATTTATATCATCATCATCATAACAGAAGGTCACATCCCACATCTGTCATCCACTTTCTTACTCTGTGGCTCTACAATCTTTCAAGGATCTTGGCCATTTCACATATGGGAGGATTCTTAACCTATTGAGACATTTGCTACGACTCCTTGGATGAGTGGTCATTGTATTTCAAGGCCTCTTCCTGCACATAACAGCACAACTCAGAGAAATGCGGACAAACGTCCATGCATTGAGCAGGTTTCGAACCGATGATAGTGTCGGAACAATCGCTGACCTCGCGCCAGATCAATATGTCAATATGGGAAAAGGAAAATATGGTGTAATTGGCCTATGGCCAATTTTTGTATACGTTCTACCCATCGCATCAGTAATGTCACCGCATTTCTTATAATTTGTTACTTTCTTCAGTTTTTATACAGAACATCACAAAATTCCGAGATGTACTCAAATTCCCATCAGATGAGGATTTAAACGGAGCAGCCGTGGCACTTACCAGACTGCAGGACACGTACAAGTTGGACACTGCTTCTGTTGCAAGAGGGGAATTGAATGGCATTCAGTACAGCACGGAGCTGTCAGGTGAAGCATCACTTTCTCATTTTCTAATGAAATTGAACAGGCACTTTATGTTTACGCCTGTTAGGTTGTAATTTACATGTGAAGTAAAATCTATTATGACTCCAGCTGTAAAATTACCTATTTTGGAGTTAGGTTAGGTTTTGGAAATCTACTTTACTCAGAAATTCTTTTCTATTATCCAGTTTCTACAAGCAAAATTCTACTGCAAAAGTAATTTTGGTAAATACATTCCAACTGCTTTGGATAAAATTGTACTACCAACTTATTAACCTTATTTGCTGTATGTAATGGCTTACACGTGGATCAGTTCGCCACGCATCACATAGCATGTCAAAGCCCGACTGGCAGCGATGAAGTATGGGTCTTTAAATCTCCTATTCCCATACATTAAATTGTTATTTATTATTCACAACTTCAGATCAATTGTAATTAAAAATATTAAACTGCCAACTAATGGTACACATGCAAAACACAAATTGTGATAAAATATTTGGACATGTCAAGAATTATTCCCTGTAGGAGTTTCAGCAGACGTCTTACCCTAATGTCATACATAATGAACACCACAAAAATCCTTTGAACACAGAGGAATAAATGATCACGAAGTAGATGCTCAACATTGAATTTTTCTTTGCAGCTGGGGATTGCTTCGAGCTTGGCCGTCAGTCTTACAACAACGGTGATTACTATCATACCGTACTGTGGATGACTGAGGCGTTACAACGCTATGAAGACGAGAACAATAAAACAACAACAAAATCTGATATCCTTGAATATTTGGCTTTCTCAACTTATAAGGAAGGTAGCTGAAATTGTTTACATGGATATTGTTACTAAATCATCATCATCACGCCAGTCTTTATATTAAACACAGTATCTATGAGTTTCCATCTCTTCGTTTTATAGTCCAAATCGTATTGTGTTCATGCTTCAGATTTGTGAGATTCGAATACATTTTCAGGGAATGTCCATCGAGCTTTGAAATTGACAAATGAATTACTGGACATAGTTCCAAGTCACCAGCGAGCTCTTGGCAACAAAGTATATTATCTGCAAGATATTGAGAAGGCATCGAAGGAGCAGAAGAGAGGAGATGACGGAACAGCAGCTGTTCAAAGTGACCAAGTGAGTTCACCTGCAGAAATTCTGTGCCAAGTCTGAATTAGGTTATTTTACAAGACTTAAATGCATTTTAGTCCTCTCCATGATGATGAATTCGAGAGCATCTGATCCTGTTTTTTCTAAAGTTGAGGTTGCTGTTGATCAACTCACAGAGAATTCTTCTTTCAGGGTTTGCTCCATACATAGACGAAATTATTGAGGGTTGTCAAAATGCAATAACTTGCAGCTTGTTTAATTTCTAACCTTTCTGTTTGAGGCACAAATGTTAGCCACCTTAAGTAGGCTGTGTGCATTAAGATATTTATCATTCAGTTCTTCATTTAAAATTGTAATGAAGTTATAATTAACTGCTGTGTGCCAGGATACCCCATCCTTTTATTTGCAGGACTACATGTCTGAAGGGAAGTAACAACTTTAATATTATACTTAGGAAGTTAGCTTCATCCAGTTGTTAAATATATTGTCCTGTGAGTTTTCTGTTACGTTTGACAGATTCCCGTGGCAGAGAATAAACAGCATCTTCCTGAACGAGATGTCTATGAGATGCATTGTCGCCTTGAGCACATCATGCCAGCTTCTATATCGTCAAAACTGAAGTGCCGATATACCAGCAATGGTAACGCGTTTCTCCGACTTGCACGAGTGAAAGAAGAGGAGGCTTACCTTAAACCATTGATCTTAATCTACCACGACGTAATTTACGATGATGAAATTGAAACTATTAAAAAGTTGGCAATGCCTAGGGTATGTTGCTAATTGTCTTTGTTATTTTGTTATTGATGTTGTGAACAAAGTAAAGGCCAGTCACTAATCTAGCGTGTCAAGTAGCCTGAGTGCACTGTTGTGTTTAACATTCAGCACGTTGTTACTCAGCGATAATGTTTTCCTCGGTATCTGCTTAACGTTATGCGTCTACTAATCTGCGTCAATTTTTATATGACTCTTCTGTTTTGTTACAGCTTTTAAACTCTTATGATAGAGAGATTATGCATTATGCCCGAAATTTTCTTTTGTAGTTCGATGTGTTATCAGAACCTAAGAGACTGGCCTAGGTTAAAACAAGTTAGGAAATATATGCATTGCATAACAGTTCTGGAACACTAATCAAGCTTTGTGAATAACACCGGTGAACATCGCGTTTGCTGATGAAGGCACGTGACATTTCAGCGCTGTTTTTGCTTTCTGTAGTTTAAGCGTGCCACGGTACAGAACTCCAAGACTGGGGAACTGGAAACTGCGAACTACCGCATTAGTAAGTCAGCCTGGCTGAGGGATGACTATCACCCTCACGTAGCTGCCGTGAACAGACGCGTGGAAGATATCACGGGCCTGACAGTAAATACTGCCGAAGAGCTGCAGGTTGTCAACTATGGTATTGGGGGCCACTACGAACCTCACTTTGACTTTGCGAGGGTGGGTGCAGCATATTTTTGAAATATCTTTTTACGGTAGGGTTTTTACATTCTTTGATGATGTAAATATATTGTGATAAGTTTGTGGAGCGGGTAAGTACAATAAAATATAAAATACAGTTAAATCTTCATAATTAATAAATAATACTATAATATATGCCTGTTTACATTAATAATTAATGAATAAGGAGTGAATAATTAATCCCCATCTGTTGTGCATCCTCTTCTCTGTATTACAGAGATTAATTCACTAATTTTTAATTTGTTAAATCTTCAGACTTTTGTTTTTACTTACAGAAAGAAGAAAGTAATGCATTTAAGAGTCTAGGAACTGGTAACAGAATAGCCACATTTTTATTTTATGTAAGTATTTTCCCTGTAATTGTTATTAGTAGATGGATAAGGGTCACATAGAGGAAGTGCAGCTGAGATACAGTACAAATCCATATTAAATATTAAACATGGACATTTATGGATTTTATCCATAGAGTATATCTCTTTAATGAGATGATGTGCTGTCACAGAATGTAAATTTTTAAAAATTTGTAAGCTTTTCTTGATAAAAGAAAAAAAATACTCAGACTGTCTTACTTCAGCCCTGAAGATGGAAAAGTATGTTGCTCTGAAACATTGGTACCTGCGTACATATGTTCAGCAGCTCCGTGGTAATGTTACGCTGTTTTAAAATGTCGTTATTGTGTTTCCTGAAAAAGTTATGTACTGAATTATTCTCGGCATCTCCGCAGATGAGTGACGTCTCTCAAGGAGGTGCCACAGTGTTTCCACAGATTAATGTTGCGCTGAGACCTGAGAAGGGTGCGGCGGCATTCTGGTACAATCTCCATCGTAGTGGAGAGGGGGACATGGACACCCGACACGCTGCCTGTCCTGTACTTACCGGTTCCAAATGGGGTAAGTAGTTCAAAGCTTTTTATCAATTAATTTATTGGTTCCCTAAAGGTCCATGACAATATTTAATTGAATATCGGCCATTGTCCAAAGAGAGGAGTAGAGCGAGTGGCCAGTGGCCAATGTCGATGGTATTGCTAATGTGAATATTATTTCTCTTTTATAATCCTTGACATTATAACCTATGGTTATTTATTGTTGACCTTTTCATACACATGTATTTTATTATATTTCATTCTGCCTTCCTGTATTGCAGTTTCCAACAAATGGCTGCATGAACGTGGACAAGAATTCAAAAGGCCGTGCGGTCTTACATTTGATACGGCTTAAAACCTGCGTGTGAGTCGGCGTAGTTTCAGTTTTTGATTCTTTATGAGTGACACTGTCACAGGTTAGAGATTGTTGACCTATTAATGTGATAGCGGAGCCTGTTACAGTGCGCGTAATCAGAATTAAATAGCGCCAGATGTATCCCTACTCCCCCATACATCTTTGTGGTTTGGCGCTTAATTAAGCACAAAGACAGCTTTGCCATTTTGTGTATTTCCCCAGAGTCAGAAATTAAGATTAATTAGTTATTATTTATACTTACGCATTATTGTGCCATACTGGTGAAAAACTGCACCAGAACTATAAATGCGTCTCAGATGTTGTTACTGTCTGTTGTAAAGTGAAGACATTAAGTCTGTCCTTTATCCAAAGATGGAAACCGATTGGTATGTAATTATGAGTAATAATTCCATTTTTACTGAAAAGAAGAGCAGTTTTTTGTATTCCTCCATGTGTTTGATGAAGTCATTATTGCCTTTCATATTGCTAAGGTAATGCAACAGGAACTTCGATAAATGAAGCACAAAATAAACCCAGCGTGCTTTAGTAAATTAATAATCTCAGTTTGTAATTCTGTGAAATAACACTCATAGATGTTCTAAGATGTAATTTTTGTTATTAATAAGTACCGTAAGTCTGAAGGGATCAGTGTTATCAATCGATAAAGAAATTTAATAAAAATGCGAGAAGATTATTTCAGTTCATAACCACATCACTTCCTCTGAAAACTAAGGACGTTCACTTGTTTAAAAATGTGTTCATTTGGTGGAAAGTTGAGACGAATAAGGGACTAAATAACTATAATTTCCAGATAAAAGTTGACTGGGACAGAAATGCAATCGGTACATCCACATTAATTTAAGAAACTAGCAACCGATCGGCTAGTGATCTGCATTTGTATACGGTTTTGCGTGTCACAGCAATAAATTGTTCGGCATTAACTGACAGGAAAATGGTTTAGATGAACTTTAATACTTCAGGGGGGTAATATTGAGATTGATCTTAAAGAAACGGTGGGAGAACATGGACTGGATATGAGCCAGTGGCCACTCTTGTGAACACAATAATTAAATGTTGGATTCCATAAAATTCAGGATATTTAACAGTATTTGAAAAGATGTTAGCTTCTCACGAAAGCCTCTGCTGTGCCTCTGTAAACGATTACAAAAGTAAAATACAAAGTGTCCCCATGGCAGAAAGTCGGCACTTCACCTACATTCAGCTCAGATCATTACAAGTCAAAAATGAATAGTAGTCATTTTTGCTGTTCGCAATACTGCAAGAATTTTGAGACGCAGAAAACCAGCAATGAGTAGTCATTTTATCAAGATTTGGTAATACTGTGGAGAAGAAAGCTCAGCATATCTTCTCTTGACGCACAGCTACGTTGAGCAGTTGTTTCAAAAGTTACTGCTTTAGTAAGAATTGTAATACAGTAAACTTGTCTTGCTGGCCGCTTTGAATAAATTATTGCTTCAATAAGAATAAGTGGGAGCCTGAAGAGAAGCAAAGCTTTGAGAAGCCACGGCTGCAACCAGCCGAATGCCACGCGAATGGGCTACCGGTGTGTTGGTAATGTGGGAACACCGCTAATCTCAGTGGAGACTGTCGGAGAAGAACTGACGAAGAAGTTGACCAGGACCTGGGAGAGAAGTAAGAGAAGGCGTTATCAAGTTCAGTCCCTCGTTTGACACTGATCATGCTATCCAAGGTGAGTGACAACAGCCTGATCGCTGAGGGATGGGCACAGAACAAGCCATGGATTGTAACCATTTGAAGGAATCGCTAGTAAAGCTGACAAACTGTGGACTGGGGCACCAAGTGGTTTGACTGGGCTGAGAAGAGAGAGCAGGTGCATGGCCACGAACATTCCACCCAACTCTGGCCATCAACGGGGTGGTTTCGGCGAAATTCGAGAGGGTGCTAACGGCGCTGCCTGATGACCCCTTGGAGGTAGCGAATAGTCTCGTGAAAATCAAACACTTGTTTGACAAAGGCAGAAGATGCCTGTGCGAATCGTGAATATGAGCTGCCAAGACAGTAACTCTCTTGAGGCACGACCTTGGGCCGCTGTGAATCTATCACATTGACAGCGCTTATAGACGATTTGGAACCAATTTCAGAGGACTCAGCGAGTCTGTTAGTGTGGTATTAAGTGCGAGGCCGAAGCTGAGTGATCCGGGTGACACGACACGCATCATCTGGAATCTCCACAGATTAATTTACGAACTGTGATAAACAACGCGATCTGTCGACCGCACACTATAAATGCCTCCAATATCGTAGGCCATTCCGAATTTAGGCCCTGGAGTATATAAAATTATGGCGGGGTGCAAATCAGTCTTCAGTTGATTGTCAAGTGGTAGCATTGGTTGTGGTGGTTTGTGAAGTGTGCCGTTTGAGCGGTTGCATTGCCGACCGGCGTTAGAGAAATGCGACGTACATGAAAACGTTTGTTATAGACGGTTAACCAGGACTGATTTGTGAAACGACTAACATTAATCTAGGAAATAGTTCCTTGTGATAGTGTGAAATAAATCCATCGCGTGTTTTGAGCGAGGAACTCTAATTACCGATTGCGTCACGTAATGATGGCAAGTTAACCTATGTACTTATTCATAACAGAAGGAACACAGAAATGAAATATTTAGTGACTAGGTGCAGATTGATTTATATACTCAACACATTTAGGTAAGTCTTTTGATTTTATGTACTATAAAAATCCTTTGCAGTTTCTTCACTTAAGTGCTTTCATTCAATTTCCTGATCTGTTCTCCAACATGCCATACCATAATTTATCGTAATCTACTCTATTTTTAATGCTACTTTCTTGTTATCTTATTCATGACTATGTTCAACAGGACAGGGACTTAAACACTTACCTGTTTAATTCTTTTGAATGTTCTTATAGAGACATAAATGCATTCTCTATATGTTTTGACATTCACTACTGCCATCTTCATGAGGATGTTTTATGTTTCTCAACTCTGAAAGCCAAACATATATTCACTGTATTCAGAAGAATAAGATGGGTGGGGCACGTGGCGTGCGTGGATGGGGCAATGAGTGTGCACTGGGTATTGGTTGGGAAGCCTGAGGGGAAGAGACCACTGAGTAGACCTAGACGTAGATGGGAGGATAATCTCAGGTGGGCTCTATGGGAGATAGGAGTTGAAGGAGACTGGATTTTGTTGGCCGAGGACAGGGACTGGTGGAGGGCTTTGGCTAATTCAGTGATGAACCTTCGGGATCTGTAAGCCATCTCGTTAGTTAATTAGGTTCATTGCCCTGATGATGGAGGCAGCAAGGACCTCTGAATTGTTGAGTTGATTAATATGAGAAGTTTAATAGGACAAACATGAATCAAGTTAACATTGTATCGACTTGAATACATGATCCAACAAAATCAGGTTAGGTATACCCTTACACCCAGTAAAATGAGTAATAGCCATTCCTTGTTTTCACATTTATTGTTATAAGGAAACACATAACATGAATACAACCAAAACCTTAAGCACAAAGGAGACGTAAGACAAGTGCTACAAACGAGTAAATTTAAGTATACATAAGCAGACATTTAATGAACTACTAATATCCACAAAGAAACAGCCAAAGTGAATATTGAAAAATTAATATGTAACTCAATACATGTAACTTTTTTTTGTACAGTTTAGTATTAAAAGATAATAGGAACAAAGTCCATAATATCATTGCTTAAGACAGATCTTTGAGTAACAATATAGTCCTCTCTTACCAAAACTTTTTAAAGGTAAACTTCTCACTTCAGTATAATACTGGAATATTACATATAATTCATATATTCCTTATAAGTATATAAAAAATAAATTCATAGTAAGGACCCTGTAAAGATCAACCATTTGTTCAATTCATAATTTCCTTTTGCTTTTGTTGTTTTTTGGCCCAATGCCCATCCATGCATGACTGTACAGTGTAAAATTAGTCCACGTCAAAGAATAATCGTCTCCCTTTGCTGAGAGATTCAACTTTATAAAAAATGTTACTTGTTGGTCTGCATAGTGTTGCCATCTAGTGTGAAGAGTCTGAAGTTATACATGGCTGTGATCTTGTTGAAAGCTTGTTTATGAACATGATTTTCATACTTGTGGCAACATTCCTCAATTTTAAACAGTCACATTTTGAAAAAATAAAACTGTTCTGTAAATATAATATTGAACATGTGATAGGTATGTGCGTTATTTCTGTGATTTTTATTTATGTACATATATGGTAATCTCCCCTCATGCGTTCAGAATTTTAACATAAAATTACATTATTTTCGGGAAGCAATGAGCAGCAAAAGGGTTACAACATTTTGGCCGTTTCTGAACAACTGTTACACATTTTCAGGAATGCTAAAGTGAATCATACAACATGAAGTATAAAATTTAATGAAATTGGTTTCTGAATTAAAAGACATCAGCTAATAATTAACACAGGATCTGCTGCAGAGGTCCTTTGACATGTAACATAATAATTAGAAATATTTCATAAATGCTATATCACAGAAGGGCTCTACGTAGGACCATCATCTTGCATCTCCATTTTCTCTAATTTTATATTGCAGGGAAAATAGTATTGGCCTTCTATTTTTATTCCTCCAGTTGATGCCTCTCCCAAAACTTTGTGCACAAAATTCTTCCAAGAATTTACAATCTCCCGATATTTGGAAAAAAACATTTAAAAAATATATGTATATACAAAGAGTGGTATACTTTTAATTACATACAGATATATCTTAAGAGAATCAATATTCATCGAGTCAAACTGATAAATCTTGTCTAAAATGTAAAAAATAAAACTTCGAAAGGAACAATGCATTATTATTATTATATATATATACCAAACTTAAAGTAACAAATACATAACATAAAAATATAAATATATATCATAAATAAATAATGGAATGTTTTAAGTTCTTACGGAAGACAAGGAAGTTACCAAGTGTATGTTTACGTATTCAGTACCAACAATTTAAAATATCACGGAAAGCAACATATTTTCCAGAATCCATAATACCTACTTGGTGCAATAAGGTACATCCAAAATGTGCTCTACTTGAGCAGTTATTGAACTGTAAGTAAACACATGACAGTAGATTCTGGGAACTAAACACCATAAAGTAACACAAATTTGTTGGAAACATTGACATCCAACCACAGATTAAATCTCATAGTTACGGAATTTGTTGACGACCTCACTCGAAGCCTCTGAATCCCACTGGACATTGTCTCGACCTCCCCAGTGAATATTTGCGCCTCCCTCTGAAGCTCGACGCTGAGCAGCTGTTGTTGGCCCTCCTCCGCGTACCGCCCCTGCCGCGCCAGGTTCCGGAAGCATGCGATCCTTGGTCTTAAATGTCGACCAATGCATGGACTGCAACATTGTCACGGATAATATGAAATAAGTCCCCACGCATCATATATAGAAATCAGAAGCACAAACACTTCAGTCTCATTGCCATTGATTTGTTTTCATCACGCTTCTCCAATCAAAGCTCAGGAATATTTGATCAACATAACAGGGCCACTCAAGACAGTTCTGAATCATCAGACCTTCCCATGACAAAGTATTGAGGTACCAAATAATACTATCAAATATACAGACTACCTAGTGGCCACAGGTATGCTACACTTTCATTTAGATTTGGTAACAATTTATGAATTAAAAATACTTACAGCATGGACATGTTCCTTCATGCCAAGCCACTGCTTGTAACTAATTGCAATGCCACTCTTACGCCACTTATCGTAATTACTTCGTTTTTCTGGGTCACACAGTGTCTCCTTTGCCTCCTGAAATTAACAAAAGGAATATGGACTTACATAGTCATAAATTCACAGAATTCTGTTATACACAGTTATCGTGTAGCATGATAATCCTAAAATGGGTTGACCCCATGCACATGCACTGAAGTAAAAATAATTTGTCATCTTTCATATCAATGAACATACTTTCAGTTTTTGGAACTTTTCTTCAGCTCCTTTATTGCCTTCATTCTTATCAGGATGATACTGCAGAGCCTGCACTTTATATTCGGCTGTAATCTGTTCTGTCTGAAAATAATACAATATATTTTAACATTCTCTATGAAATTGACATTTCAAGGTTACATACAAAGCAATTTAATCACACGCCTTCTGTAAAACACACACGGTTGCAAATCAATTCAGGTGGTGGATTCAAGCCTGAGCAAAATGAAATGTAAAAGAAAACATTTATGTTGAGTGAACATAAAATATCAACTTCTTTCATACTTACTGTTGCTGTCTCGTCACACCCTAAAATCCCATAAAAATCCTCTTCTTCTGTACGGGCATAGTTCAAAATAGTATCTACGCTCGTCATTCTCGATAAATCGAATTGAATATTATCAAGTTTGGAGCACCTGTTGCCTCAGACGTTTCCTTGTTGCACTTGCAAAAATATGTCGATCCCCGGAATCAGCTGGGTAAATCCCGGGGAAGTTCCAAGGAATACTAACGTGTAAGATATAACACTCGTTGAAAGTAAAAACAGCGTGTAATTTTGAGCTTTTTGTGTCCTGTACGTCCATTGGTCAAGCATTTCGGAGGGGACGGAACAATCCAATCAGAAACTGTATTAGAAGTGATTCATTCATATGAACCTCACTGGTGGCAGCACATGTACAATCAGCCGTGTTGTTTGTGAACATACCTCTCGCCCGTTTTCCTGTGATGATATAACGATCGTAAATAATATTGCGGGAATTTTGAAATTTAAAGCGCAATTTTTATATTCTTATTGTTGCAAAGGTCGGAGTCGGTCTCTGTGGAACTGCGGTTGTTGACGACTGCATTCTACAGCCTCCAGATGACACACGGAGCAGCGGTGGAATTATACTGACAGGGCAAAATGGAGAAACACCTGTCCCAGTGCTATTTATCCATAAGAAATCTCACTCCTAGACTGCCCT